GCGCCACTCCCATGATGGCAGAGACAGTGTGGCCTGTAAAACAACACACCGTGTTGTTAAGTCCCCTGTTTTCCCTGCCGATTAAATCTTCAGAGAACCCAAGTGAAGAGAAATAGTACTCAACGAAAAGAGAGAAGGATAAATCGAATGTAATGTGGCTGCCAAAAAAAAAAAATAGACAAACGAAAAGAATAACATGTCTCTTAGACGGCATGGATTAGAAGCAGACCAGAACAAAGACGATCCTCTGTGCCTATCGGACTGACCTCACGCACCGCGCCCACTTTGGAGGTCATCGTTTAAGAAGCATATAGTCGAGGTGCCATATGAGAGGGAAAAGACAACGACGGGTGAATAAATGAAGTTAAAAATCTAGTAAGTTAAGTGATTTGCCCTAAGTCATCAAACTATTCACGTAGGAACCACAGTTTCAACCCAGGTTTTCTGACTCCATTCCGCAGGTTACTGGCGAATTCTCATGCTCACTGTCAGCTTTCCAAAACCTCTCTCTTTACCCCAAACTCCAGATCTTCAGAGACATCGAAGAAGAGACTTAAATGATAAGTTTTCTACCCCTTGACCTTCTCTGAAGAATCCACTCCTAATGAACGCGGGAAAGCAGGACCACTGTAAATGCACCATCCGGTGTATTCCCACCTCTGTTCACCGGATCGTGCTGCCGACATGTGTAGCTCAGCCGCGCCATCGCTGAGATCACTGGCTGCCAGGGTTGGGGAGAGGAAGGATTGGGAGTCACTCTGGTGGGGACGGGCTTTACTTTTAGGGTGATGAAAATGTTTGGAACTGGGTGTGATAGTTATACAACTCTGCGAATATACATAAACCACTGAATTATCAACTCTAAAAGGATGAATTTGATGGTATGTAAATTATACCTGAAAAAGGGGTAAAAAATAATAAGCAGGGGGATGTTTTTATCTCCATTTTTTAAGTTTCTAAAACGATTTCAAGGAGTGACTCTGATATAAAACCTTCCCAAATGAAAAACTATCCTTTACTTTCAATGCGATTTTTATTCTATATAATTATCATTACTATACACTATTATTATTATATCATAACCATGAGGAAAAGTAACAGCACATCTGCCATATCTCATGGAGTATTTGTAAAAATCTGGATCAATTCTGAGAAAGCACGGCTACCACAGAAATAAAAGGGAGGCAGGCACACGTGTGTCCAAGACCACAGAGGCCTGACAGGAGACTCAGCACTGTGTGTATACGTGCGACCTCAACCTTCACGATCACGAGTCAGGCAAGGGTTTCTTACAAGTCACCAAAGGAAACACAGATAAGCTCGACTTCATCAAAATTAAAAATTTCTGTACTTCAAGGGGAACTATCAGAGAAAGTGAAAAGGAAAACCACAAAACGAGAGAGACGTTTCCCACATCACACACCGAATAACTTCGCTTGTTAAATGAAAGCACATAATCTGTTTAGAGACTGGAACCTACGTTCCCTCCTCCGATCATCACAGCAGTGGCAACCGCCTCGTAGCACAGCTGTGACGATGACCGAGCCGACGCACGCAAGGACCTCAGCCTAGTGCCCACCTCCCAGAAGCAGTTCTGTAGACGTCAGGTGCCACTACCGTGTTTAAGACATTTTTGTTAATGAAGTATCGCTGAGAGCTGGCAAGGTTTGGGAAACACGGCTCTCTCACGCACTGTGAGGAACCTTCTGGGTAGCTTTTGGCCTTGCTAGTGTCCACGGGATGCCTTAACAACCACTGGATGGGGACACTGCTCCTACGAATTTTTCCGAAAGAGCTAATTAAAGAAGCGCATAATTACATGCAAGTATTACCATCAAAATACTGTTCCCAAAGCAAAACATGGAAGCAATCTAAGTGTTTACAAACGATATGTTCATTAATTAAAAATGAGCTTGCAGCAATTAAAAATGGGCTATGCGACAATTAAAAATGAGGGTGCAAAAGATTATTTATGGCATAAAAATGTTTTTGAAATTAAGTATTAAGTGGGGACAGTTGTATAAATGTGTATTCTAATGTTTTCTTAAAATATAGGAATATTTACAGGAATACAGACATTGAAAAAGCCTATAAATGTATGTAATGTTTTAAACCAATGAGACCTACCCCCAATAAATATAATATAAAAATAAAATAAAGTAAGGG